CCCCCCAGCCAATGGGAGCTGCAGGAAACAGCATGGGCTGGCCTACCGATTCTCATAGCTCCCATTGGCCAGGAATGGCAAACCACAGCCAATGGGAGCTTCGAGCAGCCATACCAGTGGACACTTGAGTAAACAAAGCAACTGCCATCGGCAACTCTACTTTGGTCCCCAGACCTCTTATTGCCTAACCTGGCTTAGGACAATCCTGAAGCCTAAGCAAAAAAGATCATCCAAGTTAGAAAGGGGAAGGTAAAGGCAGTATGTAATTGAATGTAAAAAAATTCCCACGGAGTAAACCTGATGTATTAAGAGTTTTAGTTATATTTTCTCCATGTTCCATCTTGGCCTTGCACCAGCAACATCAATTTGGAAATATAGAAGTCAATTAAAGAAACAACATTACACTTCTACTCACACTGCATCCCGGGAGGCTCCATGTAAAAGCAACAGCTCAACAATGTTCACGTGTCCATTCTTGGCAGCATCATGAAGTGGTGAGTCATTCTGATAGCCCGTAGTGTTCACCAAAGCCCTGTGCTGTAGCAACAGGTCCACCACCTTCTTGTGCCCATGATTACAAGCCTCGTGCTAGTTGGGGATGTTGACAAGAAGCACATGGGAAAGAGACACATGTCTAATGAAAGCCCTCACTTTTAGTCAAAGGATGTCACCAACAGTTAATGCATTTACTTTCATAGCATCGCAAAAACAGGCAGTTTGATTTGAAGACACTATTCAATTTTGAAAATACAAAGGCCATCAGGAGTAATTCTCTTTTCAATCATGGCAGTGACAGACTATAGTGGATCTTAACAGAGAGCACCTAGTATGCAAATAAGACTATAAAGGAATGTCTTCCACATTATCTATTAGGGTCAAACAATCTTAGGGAGAAAAAGGCAGTGGAGAAAAAGGGACTAGCATTCACTCCCTATCATTTTTAATGATATTCAAGCATGCAACCATACAAAAATATATCGAAGAGATACCTGTTAGAAACCAAAGTTCAAATCTCAATACCTAACGTGCACCCCACAGGTCTACTGGCAATAACGGTTTATAGGATGTACAAGAAACTGCGCTTGCACAGTAACCTGAAGAGAGATCATTTTCCACACACAGGATTTGTGAACACTGTCTGAACATGACAGTAAAAGTGGCAGAGAATACTGACACTTGATGAGAGGTGAAATGATTCTAAAGGAAGAGCATTCCCCATTGTCATAAGGAATGCTATTTCTCACGTAAGAATGGCCATACTGGGTCAAAACAACAGTCCATCTAGCCCAGTATCCTGTCTGCTGACAGTGGTCAATACCAGTTGCCCCAGAGGGAGGGAACACAACAGGTAATCCTCAATTGTCTTCTTTATGTTTAGAATACAATAAAGATGGGGAGGGAAAGAATACACTATAAAAAATGGAGGTGAGGAAGAACAATGGACAAAAATTAAGATATCAAAAAATGTTGATACTCACCAATGGCGTCCATCCAGCATGGTCTTTAACATTGGGGTCAGCTCCATTTTTCAGTAAATCTTCAACAGCTGATACATCACCCTGGGGGGGGGAGGGGGAGGGAAGAAAAAAAATCACCGCTAAGCATCTTTAAAAGGATAGATCAAAGAAAAATAAATGGGAGACAACAATTATAAGCTGCGTCATTTTGACTGCAGCTGACTCAAGACTTTCATTTAGTCAACCTGTTTTACTCGGTTTTGGAAAATGACACCATTTACTAGTAAAGTTTAGAGAGAAACACCTAAAAGCTTTATTTAAGCCAGGAGCAGACCGAATAGGGCATATTTGACACTTTATAAATAATTCATAACACAACTGAACAACCGTGGGCAGACTACACCTACTGGCTACGGACTACAAGGATTAAGACCAAGCATACCTACCCAAAAATTATAGGTCCTTCAAACCAAACCAAAAAAAAAAAAAGTGTCATATTAATCTAAACAACTAGCTCGAAAAATGCACATGTATTTCCAATGCAGGTCTACTGAAAGCAAGGCATGGGAATCCAAAAAGATTAAAAATAAGCAGCTCTCTCGACAAAAAGCAGAGGAAGAAGTTAATACCTGAATCATGATGCATTGCATGTAGTTCTCATGCCATCAGATATATTACCTGAAAGAAATCCTGACCATTAGCCTGCTACCACAGAACACAACTTAGAATTCATCTCTTTCTTTACAAACAACAAATATGAGCCCCAGAATTGAGGATAACATTCAACTAAATGAAGGTGAGCATCAAAGCCTGTTCTAGGATACCAAGGAATGTTTCTGAGACAATGTAGACTAGCATTAACCCTAATCCCAAAACGCTGAATTCTGTTCAGCAGAAAAATAATCAGCAACTGATAAACGAAATATAAACTCAACAGTCACAGAAAATGCTGGAAAAACTCTAGTTTGATATCAGTCAGCTGAATGTATATTAAAAAAAAACCACCTCGATATGTTCCATACAAGAATCACAACCTCGACGCCCCCAGCAAAATGCTACATTTTACAGTAATTGAAGAATACGCTGTTCTAGTTAGAATCTTTTTTGGTCTCCAGGAAAGAGACTCAAGTGGAAACCATATACAAAAACAAAATAGTCACAGGCACTGCACGCAGTGATGAGTGCTACAGAGCTTTCTTCATGGACAAACAGAATTACAGGTGGTAAGTGATAGCTGAGCTTTTTAAAAATGACTAAATTTGCAAACATGGTGAAGAGCAGTTGAAATTTTTGCAGTGTTCCCTTAAAGCAGTTCACACACCTAGCAAATAATTCAAATCTGGGGTGGACATTAGGTGTGTTAACTAAGGATGTTAAAATTAGGTTATTTTAGTAATTGAGTAGTCGAACACATTTTTATCCACTACTCAATAGGGGAAAACAGACCAGCTCAGTACCTGGGCAGCCTACCCACTTCGGCTCCTACTGTGTTTTAAATTGTAGAACTGCAGCGGGGTTTGGTCCCCAACCCAGCGCGAGCTGAGCTGCCTGCCCGCCCGGCTCCTCCTACATTTCCTTAAAAGCCAATTCCCCCCCAGCACCAGCTCCTGCTTCTCCCCTCCCCTCCATGGTCTCTGATATAGGCTGATCAGGTAGTCGACTAATTGACGACTCTCATACATCCCTGATGTTAACAGCTCCAAATGCAAACACTAATATTACAAATCTATAAAATGTTCGTTTCATTACTGTAAAATTTTGCTGCTGTGGACAACGAGAAGTACTGTCTACATGCACAGAATGAAAAATGGTTAGAGTAAAACTAGAAAGCTATATTTCTCTGTTTACAATAGAACTGAGTGGGATTTTTTTCCCCTGGAAATGAGAAAAAATCCATTTTGTTACCTAGGCTGTAAATGGAACTTCTCTTTTTACCACTTGCAATTCACAATAAAAGTGGAGGGGATGAGGGCTTTCTTTTCGATTACACACATGCACAATGACTGAACGGCTACTGTCAATCAGGATTAGAAGTGATGCATTAAGAAAGCGGTTTGTGGCCTAGAGACTGACAGAGAAAATATAGCCAGAAATTAAAGTTTAAATTTACAGCTGCAGGGCACGTTACTAGACCTGGGGACGTTATGTCTTCTACACTCTGAACTTAAGAGGTTCTTAAACTGCATTCAACTACTGACAGTGAATACTCGCTGAACAAGAAACACACAAGGAAAAATATATGCAGGACAGATCTTAATCTGTATACACTAGGGACCCGATCTTGCTAGGTTCCAAGCACCAAACAGTGCCCCAACAATACAATCAGAAACATAAATAACTTTAAGCATTGACTTCAACTGACCATTCTCATGCTAAAATGTAGGCTAGTGACTTAAACATTTTGCTGGGTCAGGGCCAGAGTTCTCAGCACCTGGCAAAACCGAGTCCCATTTGAGGATTGGAGTCCTTATATTGCCCATTTCCATTTGGAAGCAATCAGGAAGATTACAGATCATTCAATTTTTTTTGTTTTCACCTGCAGCAAAGAAAACAAAAAAGACTCCTATCTATACATAGCTCGTTTCAAGCATACCCATTTGGTACTCAGCTAAAGGGCACCGAGAACTTGCTTTGGCTTTTTTTTTTTTTTTTAATTTAAAAGCTACATTTCTTATGGTCAGATAGAAAATTATTTCCTTGATTCTGTAATGTTTCGGGAACACTACAAGAAATCATCAATCCCTCCACCACATAATATTTGCAGAGGTATGAAATCACTAAAATATTTTGTGCCTATTCTGAGCTTCCACTAGCAAAGGCTACTTATGCTAAGCTTAATGGAAAAAAGGGGCCCAAAGAGTCAAAAGTGTTAACATGACCTTGCCTATACTCAACATTAAACATTTAAATCTGGGTTGGGGCTTTAAACACAGCCAACTCATCTGCTTTGTCCCACAGCACTAACCACCAATCGATCCTTAACAATCTTTCATGAAAGATGTAGGAAAAAAACCAGATAAGGCAACTGAACTGTAAAATATTAGGAATTTCATTTTAACAATATTTCTTATTCCTTGTAGTTGCATACAGGTCTCTCTCTTAATATGGAAAACTTTGTATGGCACTCTTGTAGCTAGAATATGGTAGCAAATGGGGATCGTTATCTGGGGTAAAAGAGACAAAAAAGTTAGCTGAGATGGGCTGAAGCTGATGTCGCTGAAATCCAATACTGCTTCCTTTAGACAAAAAAGCCATAAAAGGGCACAGAAAAGAGTAGTGAAGACAAAAAAACACAGTTCCTATGGTGCTCACGTGTCACAGCAGGGTTGCAGTTGAGAAAAAGGCACAGCACAAGTGTTACTAGCCATCCAGAGACCTGGCAAAATTGTACGAGCTTCTGGAGACGTTACTCTGAGCTGCCCCTCTGGTTGTGGGCTCACAGCAGTGTGGGGGAATCTCGTTCCTGGATGGCTTAGCCAGACTTATTAAACAAAAGAGAATGGAAAAGGAGGTGGCAAAGGTGGGGACACCTCACTGAAGGGTGAGGCTGACAAGAGCCCACATCTCATGTTCTAGATCAGTGTTTTTTAACCAGTGGTACGAGTATCCTTAGGGGTACTCGATAGAAGTCTGGGGGTACATCGACACCACTGAAATTTGGTGAAAACTGAATTGTTTTAAGTTTTACAGTATTTTATTATTTTTGTACTTTTTACACCCCAAAAATTTCATCGCTCGCCCGGCTACAAATAAGTTGTTTAAACAAATGTGTTGCAATGGGAGAAAAAATTATGTGCATCTGAAAAGTGTAGGTACTGGGGGTACTTACAATTTTTTTTAAAGGGAACTTTATAGAAAAAAGGTTGAGAAACCCTATTCTAGATGATGCTCAGGCTTTAGCCAAAGCCCATGGAAGTCACAATGTCCTCTGGGTCCTTTCCTAGTCAAATCAGGACATCTCTCAGGAACAGGACAACGGTGTCATGATGAATTCTCGGGTCCCACCAGAAGTTGGAGTAACAGCAATGATGATTATAAAGCTTACTCTTTACATATCTACCATCTCACAGCATTAGATCCCCCAGGAGTCTTTCCAAAACACCGAGGAGAAAGTGGTCAGAATAGCCCATACCCTTGTTAGTTTGTTCGCTAATTAGCCTTGTTTCCAACCACCAATTTTGGGCCACTGATTTTTAATTCCATTCTCCTTTTGCTTACTAGTTATGATCTTAATAATCTTTGGGTAACATGAACAACAGTTTTAGTTTGGACTAATTCAGTCTCTCACCTTTTGCTGACTTATGAGTAATTCTATGTAAATTGGACTTCTATGACTTTGGTTAATTTAGAGTTCAGGATTCTGCCCAACAGATTTATTGGAAAGACTTGGGATTCTCTTACTTGGGAGAATGCCGTGAGATGGGCATATGTTTAAGACAGGTAAAGAGGTTAGCTAGTTAAAGTTGATATGGTAAATTAATAGGGGCTACTGTTAATGAGTGAATAGTGCCCCGAGAAAATAACTAGCTTGTGAACAGAAAGAAAACCAGCACGAGATATGGGGCGGGCGCCAATTATCTGCTGGAGACCCACCAAGCCATTTTAAGCTGATTATCAAGGTTGTGAATAGCAGCAGTGAACAATTATATGGAGCTGGTTAGTCTTCAGTCTGCTGTAGGTTGGGAAAGCTCCAAGCGGCACAGCAGCATGAAAGATACAAGAGCCACCTGTCCACAGAGCTAGATGACAGCATTGCAATGCTTTACATGGAGCTGGGTATTTTCACAGCCATCATCCCCACCCTTACCCGTTTTTTCCCCTCAACAAAACCTTAGATTCTGCAGATGCTAGTGGCACTTGCCCAGAAAGCCTTCCCATTTGGCATGGGCACGGGGATTTTTTCTAGTCCTAGTGTCAATTGTATCAAATGCTAGTACACACAGATGGTTAAGGAAAGCAGCCAGCATCCCTTTCGTTAATTTTATATTTCCCCCTTTCCTACTTCTATTAAATCAAGATATTTTGCAGCTTCCTTATAATGACCAGTGAGCGCAAGGCGGTATTAAGTTCCAGGAAGGAAAAAGTAAGTACCATGAGCATTA